TTTTTGGAAAGTTGGACCATGAAGAATGGGAAACAATGCGAAGATATGTTTAAAAAAGTGTGAAACCAGATAGTCGCAACATGACTTCGGGGGAAGCGAGTCAATCATTTCCTGGAGAGAGATGCGAGGGCTTATAGAAAGGGGTGATAGTGTGTCATTAACATCCTCCTCTGGCACAGGGCGCTCAAGCACGGTTTCCCAGTGTACACCGGGAGGTGATGTTTCTACTTCAGATATAGTCTGTTCGGATTGTGAAATTGAAGAGATGGCATTTTTTCGTGTCGGTGTAGCCGGGAATCCTGCTCCGCCACTCAACGCAGATGACGCCGAAGTGGTCACGGGCTTCCTGCGAGTCTTTCTTGATACAGATGGCCCAGAAGGGGTCTCATATGAACAAATAGATTCGCGCTTGCGGCGCTTGCACGCACCACAAGGATGCTGACGATCGCATCGCAACTTAGAGCGTCGGCATTCCTCGCAATTAACAGCTTTGCGCTTTCGCCGAAGGAATCCGGACACTTCCTGGATGGGCCCGTTATGGATCAAGTTGTTGCCCAGCATTACCCTCGTAGATAGAGAATGGGGTTAAACGAATACACGAAAGCCCTTGTTATTGTTCAGGACAAGAGTTCGAGGCGGAAACTGTTGGTCGGAGATAGCATTGATTGAGTCATTGAAGATTGCCACAAAGAAGATCGGTGCCCGTTGGTGAGGGTCGGAGAAAGAAGTTCCCGATATTACACGGGAAAAGAAATTTCTCTGCAGCCACCTTTTCCATAGAACCGGGAAAACCTGGTCGACAACATTAAATCCACCTACTATGAAGGATTGTATATGCCTAATTATATTCGTAAGGCGTAATGAAGCGTCTATTGACTGATTCATAGCTTGAGGCTGTCTAGTTCAATCCAGGTCACGTGATTTTATCAAATTACCAATACCGGAAAATACAAACTGCCATACAGTTCACTATATGTATGGACTTGAGGCGAAGAAAAGCAGACGGATTCTGCATATCCCCTGGGTTCGTGTATAGAATAGACTTACGTATGTATCTACCAAGATTTCATGGGTACTATTGCCGTTTTGGCTGTATAGGGTTGCATAAACTCGATCCACTCGAGTCCGATTGATCGGAGATAGAGGCTAGCGGATCGGAGATGGATATGACTATATAAGTTTGTTAGAGTTATTCTTTCTTTGGAGACTTTTCAACATCTTACTCGCCTATATCCTTCTTTCCTTCTTGTCACGCAGAGAGTACAGGAAATGGAAGCTTATCTCCAGTACCAACGGGTTCGAAAATCCGTGCAAAAGCACTTGGCGAAGCTGAAAGATGATTGCAGCTGTCCGAGCTACTCTGTCAACGCTCATCATGGTCCTGAGTAAGTTTAGGTCACAAGTTAATCAGGTGTGCGAGTGCCTAATACAAGTCTATGTAGCTGCAAACTGAGCGGCTATCATAGTAGCCTGGAGAAATTGCCCGCTGGATCGACGGCCCCTGACGCTGCGATTCTTGTGGGCTGGGAAGGGGAAGATGATCCCTTAAATCCTGCAAACCTGAGCACCTCACGGAAGCTCTTCATGACTTTGTTAGTGTCATTGATAGCAGTGGCCGTGACTGCCGCCTCGGCGATTGATGCTTGTGGTGTCAGGGAATATAGCGCATACTTCCAGGTATCTGAAGTTGTCGGCTCTCTAGCAACAGGTATGGTGGCATCTCACTGGACTCTATCATAGCATAAAGCTGAACTCTACATGTCTCTGAACAGGTCTTTTCCTTATCGGTTTCGCATTCGGTTCCCTTCTCTCTGGCCCTTTCTCTGAAACCTTCGGACGCAATGCCATTTATTCCACAACAATGCTCCTTTTCTTGATCTTTGTCATGGCATCAGGACTAGCCCCAAACCTCCATGGTCACCTTATCTTTCGTTTCTTTGCCGGCCTCTTCGCTTCCACCCCGCTAACCTGCGCCGGTGGCACAGTTGCCGACTTATGGAACCCTCTGGAGAAGACCTATGCTTTTCCTGTTTACGCTTTACCTGCATTTATGGGGCCCATGATCGGCCAGATAATCGGGAGCTATATTCCAGTCACACTAGGCTGGCGCTGGCTAGAGTGGGTAATGCTGACCATGGGTGGTGTGGTTCTCGCTCTGGTCCTTTTATTCCAGCCTGAGACATATGGCAGCCTTATTCTCTACTGGAAGGCTTCCATTCTGCGAAAAGAGACTGGTGATGAGAGATACAGAGCTCCCATGGAGATCAATCAGAAGAGCCTCGGTCAGCGATTGAAGATCTCCGTATACCGGCCATTTGCGATGTTTTACTCCGAACTAATTATCATCCTGATGTCACTCTATCTGACGATTATCTATATTGTCCTCTTCACCTTTCTTGAGGGGTATACCTATGTTTTTGGCGATGCATATGGCCTCTCCGAAGGATTGACCAACCTTTGCTGGGCTGGTATGCTCGTTGGCATTTTTCTGGTCATCGGCGTGGTGCCGGTGGTTTACAGCTGGACTGCAAAGGCCTATGCTCGAGATAAGTCCACTATTGCACCTGAGATGAGGCTCTGGTACACGATGCTTGGTGGCGCAGTAGCAGTGCCGATCAGCTTGTTTTGGATGGGATGGACAAGCAATGTAAGTCTATATCGATACACCCACTTGTTTTGCAACAGGCTAACCTTTCTCTGTCTCCACAGCCAAATATCTCAATATGGTCCCCTCTCGTTGCCTCCGTCGTTTTCGGCTACGGGATCACCACCATCTTCATCGTTGCATACATGTATCTCATCGATTCCTACGACGCATATTCTGCATCCGCTCTGGGATTCCTCGTGTTCACGCGATATGTGGTGGCGGGAGGTGTGACTGTTGCTGGAGGTCCGATCTATGAGGCTCTCGGCGTGCAGTATACCCTCACCATTCTGGGGTCTATCAGTGCAGTTATGGCGTTGGTGCCTTATTTGCTTTACTTCTATGGGCCGATTATCCGCAGAAAGAGCAAATATGCGGTGAATGTTGACACTGAGTAGTTCATAAATCGTGTTATGGCAGGGGTCTATATCCTTGTTCATGGATGTGCTCAAGAATCACAACTTGGCCCTCCATAGTAATAAAGGTTTCGGGAAAGTCCTAGAGTGTAAAGCGCCTTTTTATGTTATCATGGAGGGACGAAATATAAATAGACAAGATAGATAGATGAAAAAAAAGAGCCTCAAGCAGGAATAAAAGACACATTACGGATACAAATACTCAGGATACTATAGCACAATTGTCTTGCTTAAACCAGGACATCAGCGACAAAAAAGGTCTTCAACAAGATATTGAAACTCAAGAAGCACTCGAACTAATTAATAGAGCGTTTGTGACGGCCTCAATACAAGGATTGAAAACATCGACGAATGTCGACTATTGTACAGAAACGATTGGCTGCGATATCCCAATGTAGCCTTTAGGACAAAGGAGCGGGCTGCTTGACATGCGAGGAATCATCGAACCCCTATGGTACCTACTGACGTAACCAGTCGAATTCGGCAATAATATCCCCTTACCCACCATCATCCCCAATCAGAACACCGCGACTGAGCCAGCAGATCCTTCAGGCCGAAGTAACACATTGATGGTACCAAGGGTTCTGCTCCACGCAGGTGCAAGGCGACTCACACTCGGTTGGGCCAGCATAACCAAGGCCTCCGCATTGGCCCCAGTGCGAGACAAGATTTCCCGAGCTAGCGGCCGTGGATTGAATGCTGCTGCTGCTGCTGCTGGCGGGGGTCTGAACATAGGCATGGACAGCAGCGGTAGTTGTGCCCGGGCTTGCGACAGATGCACTACTGACCGAAGGGGAGGCAGCAGATGAGCTTCCCGAACCACTTCCGTTCCACACGTCATCCCCAATCGGCGTTTCCAGTATATCCGTCTGAATCTTCTCGGCCGAGTCGACCCAAAGATTGAGGCCGTTGAACAGGGTCATACTGTCGTTGTAGAGACCGGGGATCTGGTATGTGAGACTCGGAGATCCAGTTCCCGAGCCTGTGACCTTTACCTGTGCACAGCTAAATTGGTGGTGTCAGCATCATTGCTCCTTGAATGTCATAAAGCCGAGCGCGATTGCCTCACCTGTAGAAGAATTCAGCCTCGTTGGCCTGAGCTCCATGCAAGCCCACATGCTCGGCGCGCACCAGGTACTCGCCTGCTGGGGTCTCAGCAGGAATCTGGAACTCGAACTCGGACATGCCATAGGTGCACCAGGCGTCCTTGGTCAAGTCGCCTTCCTCGTTGCAAAGCGTTCTTTCCCAGATCTTGAACCATTCGCCGTCGCCTTCGTATTCCTGGACATTGCCGGTGGGTGCTTTGGACATAACTGTGATTCGAGGAAACCAGGTCATTAGAAGTTGAGTGATTATGACAGGGAGAGGGATGACTCGTACAAACTTGGCCCGGGCCGGGGTGCGCAATACTGGTGTCGTAGAAGAGCTTCATCCCGATGGTATCGCCCGCCGCTACCTCGGCGACGTCGGTCTTTGCGGCATTGCTGAACGAGCCCAGGTTGCAACGAAAATCGTTGTCGTTGGGTGTCAAATTGTCAAAAGTGTTGGTGAACTTGGTAGGCTCGTAGCAGATGCTGCGAGTGGTCTCACGAATGTACTGCCAGTCCGCAGAAGCCTCTCCGTTCAACACGAGCTTGCTGAAGATATAATGAGCGGAAGCCGTAGGTGCCAGACTGGCAGTGACTGCAACGGCCAGAGGAAGATACTTCATTGTGTCTGGCTGAGAATCGAGACTAATTTAGAAACGAAAGAAAGAGTATGAAAGTATAATGAATTGAAGTGAAAGAATGACGAGAGCCTGACACCTGGTCAGATTGAATCCAGCTCGATAACGAGAAGTAAAAGTAAGGAGTGATATCTTGTATAGTTCCTCTCGCAGAAGAAGAGAATCAATGAGGGCTTATATGAATGTGCCAAGCACGCCGCAGCTTATCTCTGCCGTCAAATATCCACAGCTTGAGTTCCTGCTGTCCCAGTCCTTCATTTCCTCATCATGGCGCTGTGGCGGGCTTCTCTGAAACAATATGTCGCACCATTATCATGGACACCATCTAGTCCACTTCCATATACCTGGCTAAGTGTCGCTTGTACCTTCCTGGCCATGCCATATCCCTGGTATGCTAGAGCTCAATACAATATTGAACTCATAGTGTGCTTTGAGGCTCTATGTAAGCGCAACTGTCTTTTGTTCACGAGTTCTGTAGTTGAATAGCTTCCACATTCTTCTAGACAGCCAGGTCAACCTGTCGTTGACTGTTCCACCCTCGCCATTCGCCACCCAGTCGGGCCTGTGGCAGCTGTATCTCCTAGTCTGAGTGATGCCGTACTTGCGTGCAGTTGGCGGCATAAATTGAAGGTAAACAGGCAGAAGCCCAGCCGTCCAATCAAATCCGACCGATCCTAGAATTAGAAGAATAGCTGTACAGATACTGATTCCACTTCTACTTTGCTCGAAACAGCCAGTGTTTGTCAATGGTGCAATGCGCGCTCCGGTGACTCTCATACGGGACTTGGCTCGGTACTTATCGCACGTCGATACCCGTGGCTGTTCAAGCCAAGAGTGCGGAATCCCATTCCGGATGTTCGAGACCCTGAACCCTTACAAGTGGGGCACCAAGAATTCATCCCTGTCCTGCTGTCTGCGTGAAGCGCCCAGGAAACCCTTTGACGAATCTTCTTCAACTTATCCTACCTCGAAGTTGTTAAGACAAAGTCACATCGTACTCGTAAGGGGCGTTGACCAACCTAGACTGGTCTTTCAGCTGGGATGTAACTTACACTCAAGCCATAAAGGTGAGAGCCACCTCTACTGCGATCATGCTTGGAATCGTTATTTGTGGTATGATGAGCCGCGGGACTAAGAAGCCGCGGGACTAAAGCTTCCGGTTCGAAGTGGAGTCAGTAACCACTGAGATCCAGGCGAATGTGTCATCGGACATGTCGTTGCCAAGCATCACATACTCCATGTGATTGGCCTTTTGCCGGCTCTTTCCACTGAAGGATCGCAGGGAGTTCTAATTTGGATGGCCGCGTTGGGTCATTATCATCTGAAACACACCGATTGCCTAGACTTGTCAATGGTGAACCTAGGTGAGCTCAGACGATCAAGCTCTGAGTGTACTCCATAAGTTACCTGCCAGGCCTGCTCCAGCCAATGACTGGGTGCTGATTTGTACTATCAATGGTTCAAGAATGAGTCCATTGCTCGCCGAAGCACTAGAATATGTGTCTGACGAGTATCTCACTGCATCGTGCATGGTAAGCTTCAGTGGTTTCCCGAACAAGTCTGCCTTCTTCAGCCTTAAGCACTCTTGTGTCATCAGATCATAAGTTACGCTTTAGCTATAGGTATATCAATGTCTTCCGGTTCGAAACCAGCTAGTGAGTTATTTCTTTTCCTCTTCTGTTCTCTATGCGCTTTACTTGCGGAAAGGGCCCGATTCTGGCTTCGTGTGGAGCCACGAGGCCGTTGTTCATCTGAAACAATTCCGTAGTTTAGACTTTTGTTGGTACCATCGACTTTGAAGGCACCAACTTCGATATGGGCCGAGGAAGGAATATTTTTAGCTCGGTACATTTCTACTTCCGTATTGCCGTGGGTTCAGATATTTCTATGAGGAACTTGGCAAATGCTTCAAGGGTTTTCACTAAAGTGGGTCCAATTGACCCACTTGACTGCCTTATACTCACGGACTGCTACCTACTAACTAGACCAAAAGAGATATATCCCCGTGAGATATTGGCGCGTCTCGGTTAAGACCAAAACCGTAACCAAAGCAGCCATACCAGGCACCCGGTTAAGTACCTGCTTATCTCTGAACTGAGTACGGGTGCACAGATAACCTTTTTGCTTATATGGTCGCACTGCTTACCAATTAGGTTACGGAGCACAAGTCCGCAGAGGGCAATAGCGTCCCTGAACAATTGCGATGACAGGTGTGAGGACTTACAATAATCATTGGCTCCCATGCGTTATGATATTGAACTTTGTGCGAGATTTCAACTATCCGTAGTTGCAGCATTTCAAGATGAAACCAGAATGAACCCTGTATGGATCCGCATTATAACCGGTACCCCTAAGAACATGATCATCTACTATCCCTGAACGTGCGGAAATAACTATGAACCACACGAACTTACTTAAACTAGGCTAGCAAGTGATACGTTCAGAGGACGAGACGGCTACCGACAACCGAAGATGAAGCAGAAAGCTATAAATTAATTTAGATGGTCTTCTTGGTCAACGAGAAAGGCAATTTATCCAACAGCATCACGATCATAAAGCCATTGGGCTTGTTCAGGGTCGCCGGCTCTCCATCGGGCGCCATATAATCGCAGTGAGTATTATACTGTTGGTCATAGATGTACAAGATAATCCAACCGGTTAATTAAATCAATTTCCACGCCGAAAAGTGATCGGTGCCACGGTTAAAGTGGTTTTTGAGCAGTCAATATAAGCTCCTGGCATGTAATTTAACATTCCGTGAATATTCATGGCAGTTGAAGCCTTCTTTGCGGAACAGTTGGGTCACTTGGAGGGTTAGGGGTCCATTCACATTAATCACATGTCTTCTGCACGCAGGCCAAAGAAATTAGCCAGGTAGATAGACAGCGGGATTGCTCCGTACATCCAATGTCGCTTAGAGGTTGTTTCATAGTGCTACAACCGTAGCCTAAATGGATAAAGTGCCCGCAGAAGGTACAGTTCGAACGAACCGTGGAAATTGCTTCCCCCCTTTGTCGACAGGTAAACGATATAAAGGTAGGTGTCTGCCAAACAAACATTGCCATCTCATCACCCTCGCCTTCTAAGTCACAGTTGTACCCTTCTAATTGGAATCCATCCTTTCCATCCTAATCATGGTGTCTTTCCTTGGCCAAGCACGCCTGGCCGTGCCAATCCTGTCAGCCTTTGCGTGGATGTTTGCGGCAAGTTCCGCCATCCCCCCACCGCCGCCTGGAACCCTCTCACCTGAGCGTCTTCAATGGATCAGGGAAGTGATCGGCAATCAGACCGAGGGCGGCAGCATTTCGGATCTCGCTAAGCGGAGCACTATCCTGCATACCAGCCAAGACGGCGTCGACAGCGGGGGTTTCTACTACTCCGTGTACAATGACAACGGAGCCAGCGTTGGATACACTGAATACCCCACGACCGGCCAGTTTGAACTCGGCTGGAACACTGAGACGGAATTCCTTGGTGGAAAGGGCTTCAAGGGTGGCAGCACGCGGTAAGTGCATCTTTCCTCCTCTCCCCTTTTCCTTCCCACTTCACAGAGCCGAGAAAAGCTGACAGTTGTTCGACTCAGCTCCTTGACTTGGGATGGTTACTTCACCGCCGAGGGTGACTGGACTTTGGCCATTTATGGCTGGACCCTGAACCCTGTCACCGAGTGGTATATTGTGGAGTCGCATGGCACTGGAACCCCAGGCAACGGGAACATCCTCGGCCAGGTCGATAGCGATGGCGGTGTCTACGATGTCTACAATCTCCCCTACAGAAATGTTCCCGAGATCTACGGTGTCACCAACTTCGACCAGCACTGGTCGGTGCGTCGCTCCCACCGTTCCACCGGCACTGTCGACGTGAGCACTCATTTCCAGCGCTGGAAGGAATTGGGTCTCAACCCTGGCACCCCGATTTTCCAGATGGTTACTCTGGAAGGCTTCTCCGGCCAAGGGTACCTGGATTTCACCGTCCAGGCGTAGGGAAGATAAATGGCCATGTAAGGGTGGCTTATGTTCAGAGACCAGAAGCCCCCTTTCCCTTCAGTTTTGGCTTCTCTCTTGTACAAGGCTTCTCTTCACCCGCTTTTTTTTTTCTTTCTTTTTTCGCTTCTCTTCAAGATATCAACCACTTTTAACCTTTAGTAAATAACATATTGAATGTGATGGCTGCTGCAGTGCTCCATTATCTATAATCTTGTTTACAGACTTCATTTGTATTCATAGATTCCAAGTCTAATTTTCTAACTCATAGTACTGTATACACGGTTATTTTGGCAGCATTACCGCCCTTTTAGTAGCGGTGAGATCACTCGCAACTACCCTGGAGTGCTCTTCGTCGTGATCAAACCTCGTGATAGGTGAGCTCTGGTCAAGTTCTGAACTTCGGCGGACTGCAGCCCCAGAGCCACAGAGGAACAGGAGAGTAATATATATATTTTCTAGTCTTTATTAAGTCTTTTCTACATTCTTAGTACATGTCCTGACACTGAACTCTGTTGAGAATTAAGAAGAGTAAGTGATTATTACAAATAATATATTTATATATTTGTTTTCCTATTCTTGTATCATTATCTATTATATATATTCTCGCAATCTTTAGTAGAGATATTTCCCTTAGTGTAGTACTTCTTTCTAGAGGTGTGTGGTCTTCCTGCAACCAATGTGTGCAAAGGCACTCACGTTTCTGGAAAACCATTAAATGTCTGTTGCGGCACCAGGACCTACTAGACATTTCATCTCACATTTATAAGTGGAAGAGGGTTGACGTAAATCGTTGTAAATATCCACCAGGTGGATAACCCTGAAAGTGGGGACTTGATGCAAGTACTATTACATACAAGAATATACCGCACAGCTTAGAGACTTGAAGTTTCGAAATTCGAGCCTCCATAATCCTAGGCTACTTGGCATTAGCAAATGTATCAGTTTCGTCTTCGACCATCTTCAAAGTTTCCAAATATATATATTTTTTAGGGGTCTTTTGTGGATGATCTCATTTCCACTGTGGCTCTTGGGACTCGTATTTAATTGGGTGCTAGAGGGTATAACCAAGACTAAAGTTGACCTCTGATACTCTTGCTAGTGGGACGCGGAGATGCATAATTCGCCTAATTATAAAAGTGGGGGTATTGACAACTCCGTCTTCTTGATATAGCCGTGCTTTGGTTTCAAATTCTAAGCGACGAACATGTAGTACATTGTTATAGATATATACTACTCAACATCAAGTGTGTTGTTCCCAACGAAAGACCTTCCCACCCTGCACCTCGAGAGTTCCGTTAAGAGGGCTAGGAAGAACAACAGTTCCCTTAGTCCCCACAGGGGCGTTGACAACAATATTGAAACGTCCGCTGCCATCGAAAGACCAATCAACCCTAATGTTACCGTGAGGAGTAGGATACTCTCCCCGTGCCCAATCCAGTCCCAAAGTCTGAGGAGCGACTCTCCACTCCCGGAAACCAGGAGTAACGGGCTGGATCCCAAGAACATAACGGCTCAGATCAGCGGTGGGCCCTGCACTCCAGGCATGACACAGCGAGGTTCCAGACCAGATGCCGGGAGTACCGTCGGGGTTTATGACCTCCCACATACAGCCAGTGTAGTTGGCATTTTTCGGGTCACTGATCGGGCCCCAGACACTGTGGAGAAGCTTTTTGGCATTAACGCCATCGTTCGCATGGAATGCCGCCTTGAGGTGGTAGCCGGAAGCATAGGGGCTGATTTTCTGGGCGAATCCGCTGGCCATGCTGGCGTTGGAGAAGGAGAGAGCGCCTTTGGGAATATATAATTGCTGCGCCATGGTGGAAAGTAGTGTATTAGTACGGTTGCCAGTTAGTTTTGTAGTGTCACTCAGGACGGCCAGGGCATTGGCTTCCTGCGAGAAGAAGTTTTGGTATGTTTCAGAGTGATAGTAGGCCTGGAGTTTGTCGCTCCACAAATGATAGTTGATTGCTTCTTGTAAGTTTTCCAGCCGCCTTTGATAGACAGTGGCATTGATGTTGGCCTGCTCCAGATACGGGATCCATTTGTTCAACGAATAAGCGTATAATGTGTTGAATTGGGAGACAATCCCAGACGACGCGGGATCATAGATGTCCCATCCCCCACCCATGGCGGGATCGGTGATGTTGAGCAAGTTATTTGGTAGGGTCTGTGAATGCGCCCAATCAAGCATGCGCATCACTTTCGGGGCCCAGCGGTGCAGAAACACTTCATCACCGGTCTGCTCGTAGAACTTGGCCATTGCACTCACTAGATTGAACGAATATCCAATCAAACCGGTTATATTTGCCTCAACATCCGTGGTTCGAGGGGGCTGTTGAACTTTTGCATTTGGAACAAAAAAGCCGGGAGTCATTTGGTAGGAACCGAGCAGCTCAATAGAACCGTTGATGTAATCGATACCATTGGTGCTGGCGAAAGATGTACTGCTAGCCATGTCTAGGTCACCGGCGTAGGCAAGACGATCGCGTCGAGAGCCGTCGACGCTGACAGGTAAAGGGTTGGTCCCGACAAGGAAGTCTGATAGCGCCGACTCATCCTTCAAGGTTGAGAAATACTTTTGCTCTCCCCCGACTAACAATGACAGGTTGGTGAAAATGGCAGAATGTCCGAAAGACGCGCCCACACCGAAGGAGCCATAAAAAGATGCCGTTTGGGAGAAATCCAGCACAGTGGTGTTATCGATTTGAACAGATATTTGGGACATGTTCACGTTGCTTTGAACCTTGTGCCACTCGTTCAGAATGATCGAAGAGGAAAGATGACCTGAGGCAATGATAGGGTCCAGCTCAGTAGATCCAGCATGCGCAGAGATTGAAGCATTGGCAATATCGACAAAGATGTAGATCCCGTTGGACAAAGTATCACTGAGTACATTGAAGCTGAAGCCCTTGGAGATCGGCTTTACCGAGAACTCTAGATCGTAAGTCGTCAGGGAAGGAGACCAGATGGTATAGTAAGGTTGCGGAGCAAGACTGTCTATCAAGGCTCCTTCATCAGTAAGAACCCAGAAGTCTGGAATACTGTTAGCTGGAAACTCTGTAAGCTGCGATGTCCGAGCTCCCGCATGCCAAATCCGAGTCAGCACTTCATCAGAACAGTTGAACGAGCCCGGAAGATCTGCCAAAGGGATATTAGAGACAGTCGGTTTAAATCCAACTAGGGATAGATGCATCTCTCCCGCACTGGACAAGTTCAGCTTCTGGTATCGCAGTCCGCCCTGTATGAGCCTGTTCGTGTAGGTCCTTTCTTCCGTGATGTTGTATCGATTAACTCGGTACGTGTCCATCGTCGCATCAAAGGACAGAGGACCGTCAGCCTGATATGAATGAGTCTGAAATTAACGATCGCAAGTCGTGGTAGCAAGACAGGAGACTGGACTCACCATGGCTGATCCCAGTAATGCATATGTTTCGCTATAGGCCATTTCAAAAGCAGAGGTGTCCCCGGACATGGATGAAACCTGGAAGGTAGCATAACCTTCGACATCTCGTCCGTAGTCGAGTATTATTATGGCGGGAGTCACCCCGTCAGAAGAGAGGTTAAGCACTGTGTCATTCTGATACTCAATCCAGTTATTCTGCGAGGCGTTGAAATAGGTAGTAGGTCGATAGGAGGTCGAACAATCTCCAGAGGCAAATATAAAACCAAAAAAGACTAAATTATAATAAGCGAATCTCATAATGATTTGAATCTCCGCAGGAATCCTTCAGGGTTTGGTCCGTTGTCAGTCTGGTGAACATGCAACAAACTGTCACGGATGTGCTGGGAGCGAAGCTATTTTATATTCGACATCTTCTTATTGCCGAGTCACTAAGACCCCTTTCTCCCCTGACAAAACGAATATACGAGAATACATGTGGCACACAATGCTGCCTGCAAAGCTTGGCGTCTCCCTTAATCCCATGGTACGTAGCCACCAGCCGAGCCCTACCAGAAAGTCGATCCCGTTGGCACAGGGCCCCGGCACCTGCCCGAAGCTGCCTGGCCTTAGGCTCGGATCGACGTAGAGCGGAGCAAATACGAATGTACGAACTTCCTACTTCCTGCCGCATTGATATTCGATTGCCACCGACCGCGAATCTGGTGGCAGGGCAAAGTAGATTCTGAGGCATCCCGCCTCTCCAGTAAAGTATGACTTTACTTCCAAAACTGGGATAGAACGAAATATTGACTAGACAGTAGTCACTGGACATGCTTTTCTGTCTCTAGCAGCCATTGGATTAGGATTACTATTAAACACCACAGGGGCACTACTAGTCACGAATGCAGGAACAATTGATATAAACCAACCAAGACACGGCGTCTGCGCCATCCCAGCCATAAAATATACCATGCAAATATCAAACACAATCAACGGGCTTGTCATGACATCGTAAAGGTAGACCATCGTCTCCTACAGTGGTCTACCCAGCATCCGGAGACGCTCCCTCAATGCATCCGCCTCGCGGTCCTCTTCAGCATCCGACCTTCTTTCTCTCAGTGATACGGACCGATACTCTCCGTCTCCTCCGGGTGCCCCTACAGTCACCCACACGAACTTGCTTCCGCTGCCCCCTGCTGCCCGCTCCTGGGAGCCCTCCCAGAACAACTCCATGGGGGTTGCAGCGCCTGACGCCTTGTCATGTGTGGGTCGTCCTCCAAGGCGCCCTTGCTTCACCCACCCTTTCATTACCTCCTTAATGAAATTGATCTTCTGTAGGAACGAATTGGCGTCTAGGATATCCCGAACACGTTCATCTGCGGAACTCGCGCCAGTGCCATACGCAATGCCGAGGAAGGTAGCAACTTCGTCCGAAGTGACTGCCCGAGTGTCGAATCCAGATGGGTGCATCTTGCCCTTTGTGCTGAGGTATCTTGCTGCAGAGGGCGAAAGGTGATAGAAGTCGACCCAGGGTGAGGAGCTTCTTGTGCGTCCAGGAGCGATCACGAGCTTCGTGTGATCAGGGAAGTTGAACTGTGTGATGTGTTAGCTGGTGCGACTGACATGTAGAAGTTGGTTGACATACCTGGAAGGCACCATCCCCGAATCCCCAGACGCCAACATTCCCCAGTCGTTGGTAGAACTTGATGAATTGGCCCGAGCTACCGGAAGCCAACTCGTCCTCCAAAACTGCGTCATCTCCGTGTCGGCCTAGAGACCCGATCATGTATTTGCCAAACTGATCGACGAGCTTAACTCGCTTGATCTTTTCGGCGTCCGCACGCGCGCAGTCAAGGCCGGAGTTTGTGCGGATCTTGATACCGGCCGCGGAAGATCCGCTGGAGGAGGCCTTGACCTCGAACAGCGACGGTGAGATCAGAGCTCGCCGAATTCCGCCACGACACTCGGCGAAGTCGCGGGTACAATTTTCATAGAATTCTACCGGCTTACCATGGCGAGGAATGAGCTGGTCTGCCTCGGAATACCCATAGATCGCTCCCTCTTGTTGCTCCTGGCTACGGGCTTTGCGCCGGATGTGTTTTTCGCCATCCCGCACTACTACGCCACTTGCAGGCTGGCCATTCTCTGCCTTGAAGACGCATCCTACGCTGCCATCGTCCAAGACATAGCCAATACCATACCGATTCGTGTAATCCACCCATTTAATCACGTATGCGTGAGGTGGTCGTCGAAGCCCAGCCCGTCTCCGGGCTGCTGAGTGTGGTACCATGTTGGACAGCATGTGTCGCAGATCCATGTTCACGTCATCAAGGGACGTTCTTGGTAGCGCCTCCCATGGGTCTTCCACGTGAAACAAGGGGTGCAGGCCGAGTGTCGAGCGTGGCTTGCTTGCAGAAGCCGTCTTGCTACCAGACCGGCTCAGCGGTTGTGAAGAGAGATCAGGTCGGGCAGGTTTTTCGGGCAAGCTCTCTTGGGCCACGGGAGCTTTCAGCGGTTCTTCTTGTCTCAGCACATCTCTGGTCTCCGATTTCGGCATTGCTCGTTGGGAAGGCTGGCGTGGTCTAACTGGCAAATGATCCATTGCTACGGATGCAGGCCGTTCCTTGGCAGGAGGCGGCAGATGGCCAGTTTCCTGACTGCCCGACTCCAGTCTGCGAGACTGCGAGCGCGTCTGCGAGCGAGTCTGGGAGCGAGTCTTCCCGATTACCAGAGACTCCGGTGCCGTACTAGACTTGGGAATCTGTGGCGCAATGTTTTTGTCTAGATCGCGCAACGAACCCGAGTACGATGCAGCCACACCACGCCGTGCGCGAATTGGCCGCTCTGCAAGACCACCTGAAGGTACAACTGCTGGTTTTGCTTCTGGCTCCTCCTCGAACAAAGCCTTCGCTGTCGGTATGGGATCGGGAATAGCTGCGATTTTCCGGACAGAACCTCTGCCTGTAGCCGCCTGCTGCCGCAGAGTTGCGGCATGGCTCTGCGATTCTTTCCGCCGCTGCTGAGCAGCAGCCAGCGCCGCTTGAGTTCGGGTGAGTGAGGCCACATTACTCCGAGCAGATGCGCTGCTCTTTCTTGACAGGACACTGTCTTCGAAAGAGGAGCCATCTCTGCGTGACAGCAAGGAAGTATCAGGGTCGCTCCAATCACCTATCGGGTCATGGGGGTACCTGTACACAATATCCTCTGGAAGGGGTATGACAGGCTGGAATCCTTTCTCCTCCTCAGATAAGCATTCGGCATATGCTGACTTCGAGCAGTTTTTTCCCGCGGCCTTCCGTGCTGTACCGTCTGGTTTTCTGCCCACGCCACAGAGTGTGTAGAACGCCGCCCTGCAGACCAGGTATCGCTGACTCGGATCATCGATGTGTTCGATGTAGCCAGACAACTTCTCGTCGTATTCCAAGCTGCTCCCAAACATCATTCGATCGCCGCGGGGCTCGTCCGGCTTTAGCCAAACGGGCCTACTAACGCTGCAAGACGGGTCAAGTCGTTTGGGTATGCAACCGTCATACATCCTGAAAAACGGGTGTTCGACGATGTCGTCCGGCTCAGGGCGCTCTTCTTCAGCGAGGTTCAGACACCAGCTCACGAGCGACTTCGCCTCTTCGGGGATGTAATTGGCGCACTCGGTGCCTTTCGGCCACACGTATGCCAAGTTCCGCACCTTTTTATAAATCTCCTCTTGCGTTTTTGATTGGAACGGCGGGTACCCAGTGAGCATCGCGAAACTAGAAGGAATTAGCATGAAGTTGGTACAGACAAATTGGTTGCAGGCTTTACCAGATGACCCCCAAAGACCAGATGTCGACCTTCTGTGTATGACCGCCTTTACTTTTGTCGAGAACCTCTGGTGCAATGTAATTCGGTGTCCCGCACAACGTCCTTCTCCTTTTTTCATCCCTCTCGGACATGATCATTGCTGCCAGACCGAAGTCGCCCACTTTAATATCCATGTTCTGATCCAGAAACAAGTTTCCCATCTTCAGATCGCGATGCGCAACATTTCGCTTGTGTAGGTATTTGATCGCACCGCACAGTTGGACCATGAACCGTCTGACCTCGGGCACACTTAGGCACTTCCTCTTTCTGACCATATCCATGACGGACCCATTCGGACATAGTTCCAGAATGACGTATATACTGCTGTCGAAGACGAAGGCGCGATGGAAGCCGACGATGTGAGGGTGGCGCATTTTCGAGTGAATCTGAAGCTCGGTACGAAACTATGATGGTTTGTCAGCATACCAATTGCAACTACGCGGCATCACAAGGAAGTGATTAGGTTATATACCTTCTCTTGCATCTTCTTCTGTGCCATTTCGGATCGAACCACTTTCATAGCAAAGACACGGCCGGTTCGCAGTAGTGTCCCTTCGTAGCAGATCGCAAAACCTCCCTTCCCAAGAAAAGCGCCGGTCGAGTATCGCTCTCCATCCTCTTCCGGCTCCAAAATCAATGATGGTGGTGGCGGCGCATGATTTTTCGATGACGAAGCTTTCTGAGCGGCGGCGGCAGCGGCAGCATTTTTATCCAATACTTTGCGCTCCATAGAGATCTTTGGCTTGACAATTTGGTTTGTCGACCGTGGTGATAGCGCCTCCATCTTGCCTTGAGGGAGCACTTTGTGCCTTAATGTGATCGGGTATCAATGTTGGCGACAAAAGAACGGCGGTGATCTCGAAACCAGACTTGAGCGGACATCAACTCAGACGATATAAGCGATCAATAGTGGTACAGTGCACTGGGGGTATAATGGATCTAGTGGGCTTGTGCTCTATCGCCTGTAAGTAACCATATACAGCAATGAAGTTATGCGACTTCGTCCCGGGGGCCAGCGACCGGTGAGGGGGTTTCACCGCACGGTGATGGAACACTGAAACCGCAAGACCGAGAGCGAAGTAGTGAGGCATTGAGAACATATACTTACTAAAAATGAATGAATATCAAACAATTGACGCTCAAAAACAACAATATGCAATCAATGGCACTCCAATCAGGGAGACCGCGACCAGGGAGAGGTGGGGGGGAAGACAGGAAGTGAAGTAGGGATAGACAGAAGCAAAGACGGAGAGCTTCCCGGATGGAGACCAAACGAACTTCCCCATGCGGCAATCGATAAACATTGATCCGAATGCCTGTCCAACGCGCATTGCTAATGTCAGCAGGCACAGCAACCGCACATTATGCACAGCTATGCGCCCCACGAGTCCCGCTGCCGGTTGATGCCTGACCATCCAGTCAGCAGTTGTGAATCATCTTCGACCAACTTCCAGGTCCATGTGAAGAGCTATTTTAAGACCTCGCCTTACCGTGATATGGATTCAAGTCGCTCATAATACATCTCTAGGACCTCTCTCTTCATTCTTTCCTAAAATCTCTCTTCTCCCTCCCCTCCACCCACCATGTCTCTCACCCTCAAGCTCTCCTCCCTTGTTATCCGCACCTTGTCAAAGCCGATCGCCGTACGCTTATTCCACCCTTGCAGTGATGCGCTGCTGACCGGAACTGACTGACACTTCAAAGAACCAAATCAAGGCCCAGGCTCGCGAACATGAACGCTTCCGGCGCATCTGCGTCTCTATGGCGCAAGGTCTCCACCGTATCGACATGCGTCTCCGGCTAGGCAACATTCGCGACAACGCCGCATCGCAAAAACGAGCAGCTGCTGAAAGGGAGCTCCGAAAGCACAAGCCCACGTCCCCAACGGTCAAGACGGAAGTAGAGGCGAAAGCGGAAGAGGAAGCCATTGCGAAAGCCAAAGCGGCGGCAGAGGAGGCAGCGAAGCCGGCACCGAAACCTCACATTCGACCATTGTCCGAGTCCAAGGCCATCGAGTCCGGTGCCACATTTATCAGCGAGACATTCTTGTTTATTGTTGCGGGAGGATTGATTGTCTTTGAGTCGTGGAGGTCTCGGAGAAAGGAAACAACCCGCAGGGAGGACGTTGAGACTCGATTGGCCGAGCTGGAGCAGTCTGAGAAGGCCGCCCGGCTAGCACTGTTGGCCTTGGAGAAGGAGCTGCTTCAACAGAAGGCCAAGCACGGGGAACTACCCAAGTCCTCCTCGAGGATCCTACCACGCGAGGTGTGGGACGTGAACCAAGAGGATGAGGTGAAGCCAGCCGAGGAGCCGGGCTTGCTGTCGTGGATTACGTCGTATCTGCCTTGGGGGGAGAGTCCGGAACAACGGGCAGAGTCTGTGATCAAGGAGAGCAAGAGTGCAGCGAAGCCATCAGTTGATGCGCCAACCTCACCGGCATCGAAACCAGCCGAACCGGAAGCGAAAGCGCCAGAGCCGAAAAAAGCTTGAGCGATGCCAGTATTAGACTTATGCACCTGTATATATTGTTATAGATCAGTTGGGGCACTCTGTGGTGGACTATCTTGTTAATGATGTTGCGATACCCTTAGACATGACGGAAGGCAAACATGCGGAGGCTTATAAATATAATTCACTCCTCTCTTCAATGGGCGTATCTTCAACATACCACATACCTTCGAACATATACTACATAGGATGGAGCCGGACAACTCTGTTTCTCTTCGCGGCACCTACTGCCTTTCACTTCGAGAGCAATCAATATGGAGAATGCTTGAGCCAATCTTGAGAATGTCTCCGGGCCTAAAAGGTTGGTAGACTTCGATTGAGGATGGAGCTTCCCTCTGATACGGATACAGCGGGGGAGGTGAAAGAGGGGAGTGATTTCAACTTCCGCCTGGGTAATGATACAGCGACACTAAGTATCCTCCTGTTAACACCCTCATCCATTGAAGCGTCTGTTGCAGAAGAGACTACATTCAGACTACGCCAATTCTCCTCCCTCGCAGGTGGCGTCGACAAGGAAGCTGTGGTATACCTGCTGTCCGAGGCACCGTTCCATAGTGCAAGTGGGAGATATCGTCTTGATGGGCTGGTAGCATTGCAAGCACTGTGCGAGCATTCTCCACATTCATCTAGAAGTAGTTGTGACTAATATTGAGGAGTTGTACAGGATGATCGAATCCCTCCCAAACGTGCTGCCTGTCATTCCTATTGCAGACGCGGATTGCTTCCTGGCCTCTGTGCAAGAATATATCACCAACCTTGAGGCAATCAAGATTCCACGGCAACAATGCTCTGCGAACACAATGGGTTTTGCAAGATCCAGGTTCTTCTCTGCTACATCATTTGATGAACAGGGGGGTCAGAGCTTCAGAGGTTTCGCTGGGTAGTTGTAGGACTCATGGAACTATAAGTGGGATCAGCAACTACGGCAGTATTATGGCAAATAATTACACCCCTTTATTCTTATTGTAAGGGGTTTGAAAGTCAGCCCAATGCTGTTTCTTTCTTAGATGGTGTATTTGATGATGTCACGTGTGTTTCGTTGCCCAATTGTGTAGTACCAAGTCAGGATAGTATCAGTAAGTTGTTGTGGTACTAATTGGAGTAGGAGAACATATCAGGTTGGGAGGCGAGGAAGTTAGGTACACACGACAACCCAAAATATATTTTCGGGAGTGGATCGTATTCGTTTATCAGGACTATCCCCCTATCCAGGGGTTCTACATTAGAAGAAAACCAATTTCCATCAGTACTAGCCCCTAATCAATGCAATTGATGAAATGTGGCAGATGTTATGGTAAGAAATCCGGGATCAGCTGGATGGTGAAGGAGGGAACTAGTTCCTAGTTTCTAGTAATAAAAGCCGGACAAGCATTGGGCTGCAGGAGGGGTGACGTAGTGAGAGGGAGAGGAAGAGTCGAGGAAGAGTCGAGGAAGAGTCGACGAAGAAGGAAAAGGAACCGTTGGCAACTAATGGCAGCCTCAGGCACTGACACCCATCAGTCCCTTGGATCGTCGGTGCCTCGGACGGGCGTGTGCGGCCAGCCCTTCTTTTCTTTCTTTCTTCCCTTAACAACGAACTAACTAACTAACTGACTGACTGGAACCTTTTAGCGCCAGGGACCCGGGACTTCCAGGGGCGACTGGCGCTCGGGGATTTTTACTTTTACTTTTACTTTTGCCCCGGAGGCAACAACATATAGTAGTAGATAGTATCCCTACGGTTAAGTACTCAACTTACTTACTTACTAACTAGTATAACTCTGGTACTACCAATCCTAGTTGATTTAGATGGGATGGTCGGGTACTAACAGTAATAAGTGATTGCGCGTATTCGAGGCAGCGCAACCCAAGTGTGGCGCAGGCTCCATCGGCCGGCCCGCCGAATCACCGGCTCTCTTCTTCCAGTCTTGTGTCTGTCGTTACTTAGAATAGCGAAAGAGGGACCCCGGCCATTCTCTCCTCCTCCTCCTCCTCCTCCTCCACAAGGCACCCTTCCGTCATTCTTCCTCCCTCTTTCTCTTTCTCTCTCCCCTCGTCCTCTTCGCATTCCTATACCCCTCTTCTATTACCTTACACACCCTTATTCTTTCCTGCGGGCCCCTCCTTACACCATCCACTAGCTTCTTGGAATGAACCATACGCCCGCTGCGTTCATTCCCTATCCGCTGTGAATTTATCCGCCCCGTTCCTGTCCAGATTGATAGGCCAGATATCGTGACGCTTGGGCGCAACTTCCGGGGAGGTCGGTAGCCACAATCATGGTGAGTCGCAGCCCATTTCCCTGCCAGTTTGATGCCAGAGGTTTACCCTTTTGGATTGAATTGTCTTTTGCTAACCCCCATGTCTCATTGTTAGGGTCATTCACGACGTCCGGCTGGCGGGGAGAAGAAGAGTCGCGGCTTCGGTCGCTCCAAGGCCGCCGCCGATGTGGGCGACGGGCGACAGGCGGGCAAGCCTCAGGTCAAGAAGGCCGTCTTCGAAAGTACAAAGAAGAAGGAGATTGGTGTCTCAGATCTTACCCTCCTTAGCAAAATCTCCAACGAGGCCATCAATGAGAACCTCAAACTCCGCTTCGAACATGACGAGATCTACGTAAGCTGCCGCTGCCACCACTACCGCCACTACTACCACACACATTCGGGCAAGGCTATCTAGGCGAGGACAATAACTAATGGACGACTTCCATAGACATACATTGGACATGTGTTGGTGTCTGTTAACCCGTTCCGCGACTGTAAGTGGCTTCCCCTGAGCGCCATCAGTGCCCGTGGTCGCATGGCTGACCACGCCCCCTATTCTAGTGGGCATCTATACCGATCGTGTCCTCGAGTCCTACCGGGGGAAGAACCGACTCGAAGTCCCGCCCCACGTTTTCGCGGTCGCAGAATCCGCCTACTACAACATGAAGTCATACAAGGATAACCAGTGCGTGATCATTTCAGGAGAGTCGGGTGCGGGTAAGACGGAAGCGGCCAAGCGGATCATGCAGTACATCGCCAGTGTATCTGGTGGCAGCGACTCGTCCATCCAACAGACCAAGGACATGGTTTTGGCCACCAACCCGTTGCTCGAATCGTTTGGTAACGCAAAGACCCTGCGCAACAACAACTCCTCCCGTTTCGGAAAATACCTGGAACTGGAATTCAACACCAATGGCGAGCCGGTGGGTGCCAACATTACAAACTATCTGTTAGAGAAGTCAAGAGTGGTGGGCCAGATCACGAATGAGCGAAACTTCCACATTTTCTACCAATTTACCAAGGCTGCACCGCAGAAGTACAGAGGTAGGCGCAATTAATCCCGGTTCCTGTGAACGCGCTAACAGCTCGTGACCAGACATGTTCGGCATACAACAACCTCAGTCCTATCTCTACACCAGCCGGTCAAAGTGCTACGATGTCCCCGGCGTCGATGATGCGGCCGAATTTAGAGACACCATCAATGCAATGGGTGTCATCGGGATGGCAGAAGCTGAACAGGATGAGGTGTTCCGCATGCTGGCCGCGATCCTGTGGATCGGAAACATCCAGTTTGCCGAAGACGATTCCGGGAACGCTGCCATCACTGACCAGTCGGTGGTCGACTTTGTCGCATACTTGCTGGAGGTCGATGCCGCGCAGGTGAACAAGGCGCTGACCATCCGGTTGATGGAGACGGCCCGCGGAGGCCGCAGGGGATCGGTTTATGAGGTTCCGTTGAACACGGTGCAGGCGCTGGCTGTTCGTGATGCGTTGTCCAAGGCGATCTACTTCAATCTCTTTGACTGGATTGTTGGGCGGGTCAACTCTTCATTGACCGCCAGAGGGTCGGTGGCGAACTCCATCGGTATCTTGGATATCTACGGGTTTGAGATTTTCGAGAAGAACTCGTTTGAGCAACTGTGTATTAACTACGTCAATGAGAAGTTGCAGCAGATCTTCATCCAGTTGACCTTGAAGGCGGAGCAGGATGAGTATGCGCGGGAACAGATCCAGTGGACCCCGATCAAATACTTTGATAACAAGGTGGTCTGCTCGTTGATTGAGGACAAGCGTCCCCCTGGTGTCTTTGCAGCGCTGAACGATGCCTGCGCGACAGCGCATGCCGACTCCGGCGCGGCGGACAACACATTCGTCGGCCGTCTCAACTTCCTGGGCCAGAACCCCAACTTTGAGAGCCGCCAGGGCCAGTTTATCGTCAAGCATTACGCCGGTGACGTCAGCTATGCAGTCGAGGGCATGACCGACAAGAACAAGGACCAGCTGCTGAAGGATCTGTTGAACCTCGCCGGTTCTAGCAGCAACCAATTCGTCCACACCCTCTTCCCCAACCAGGTCAACCAGGATGATAAGAGACGTCCGCCCACCGCCAGCGACAAGATCAAGGCATCTGCCAACGACCTTGTGGCGACCTTGATGAAGGCACAGCCGTCTTACATTCGGACCATCAAGCCCAACGATAACAAAGCGCCCCGGGAGTACAACCAAGGCAACGTGCTGCACCAGATCAAGTATCTGGGTCTGCAGGAGAACGTACGTATTCGTCGCGCTGGTTTCGCCTACCGTCAAACGTTTGATAAGTTTGTGGAACGCTTCTACCTGCTGTCGCCCAAGACATCCTACGCCGGCGACTACACGTGGACGGGCGATGAGGAGTCTGGTGCCCGCCAAATCCTCAAAGACACCAGTATCCCCGCAGAAGAGTACCAGATGGGTATCACCAAGGTCTTTGTCAAGACCCCGGAGACGCTATTCGCCTTGGAGACGATGCGCGACCGGTACTGGCACAACATGGCCATTCGCATTCAGCGTGCTTGGCGCAACTACCTGCGCTACCGCATTGAATGCGCCATCCGCATCCAGCGGTTCTGGCGTCGCATGACAGGCGGTCTGGAGTTCATCAAACTGCGGGACCAAGGACATCAGGTCCTTCAGGGCAAGAAGGAGCGGCGCAGGATGAGTTTGCTCGGGTCGCGGCGCTTCCTCGGAGATTATGTGGGCGTTGGCAATAAGGGTGGACCGGGCGAGATGATCCGGAACGGTGCAGGCATTAACGGTGAGTAGCATGGTTTGTGTGTGTGTAGGATCTGGCTGACAAGTGCTAGGATCGGAAAATATTCTCTTTTCTTGCCGTGGCGAAGTATTGATTTCTAAGTTTGGCCGGTCCAGCAAGCCGGCGCCGCGCATCTTTGTTTTGGTAAGTCGACGCTCCTTGCTGCAACTGGACGCAGCTGACAACGCAGACCAACCGACACGTCTACATCGTGGCACAAACGCTGGTCAACAACCAGCTTCAGATTGCGTCAGAGAGGACGATACCTATCGGAGCGATCAAGTCCGTCAGCACATCGAACCTGAAGGATGACTGGTTCTCGCTTGTGGTGGGCGGACAGGAGCCGGACCCGCTGATGAACTGTGTCTTCAAGACGGAGTTCTTCACCCACCTCACCAATGCACTTCGCGGACAGCTGAACCTGAAGATTGCTGACCAGTAAGCTCGTTTCATCCTCATAGAGAGAGCGCCACTAATTTTTCCTAGCATCGAGTACAACAAGAAGCCGGGCAAGCTGGCCACCGTCAAGGTGGTCAAGGACCCTGGGGCCTCGAACGTCGACAGCTACAAGAGCAGCACCATCCATACGAGTGCGGGTGAACCCCCTAGCTCTGTTTCCAAACCCACGCCACGCCCGAAGCAGGTTGCTGCGCGACCCGTGACGAAGGGCAAGTTGCTCCGGCCTGGCGGTCCTGGCGGCGGGCCCTCGAAGTTGGCATCCAGACCTGTACCGGCGCGCCAGCCTTTGCCTCAGTCCACGCCGCAGCCCGCTGCCGTGCTACCACCCCCCGCCCCCAGGCCAGCGGTGTCGCCCGCAGCACAGCCCAGACCGGTCCCTCAACCTGTTGCCGCGGTTGCCGCAGCGCAGCACACACGAAATGCATCCACCAGCTCCGCAAGGGCGCCGCCCCCACCTCCCCCGGCGACGCCGCCAGCCCAGAAGAAGCCAATGGCGAAGGTGTTGTACGACTTTAACAGCGACCAGACCAACGAACTGTCGATCCGGGCGGGCGAACTTGTGCAGATTGTGTCCAAGGAAGGAAATGGTAAGTCACACAACCCATTGTTTACGACGAATGTCAGCTAATGTCTGCAGGATGGTGGTTGTGTATGAACACAGCGACATCGGTTCAGGGCTGGACGCCCGAGGCCTACCTTGAGGAGCAAGTAGCAGCGTCACCTAAGCCTGCACCGCCCCCGCCGCCACCGGCTGCACCCCGCGCCAGCCCCGTGCCGGCGACTAATGGTGCCGCCGCCGCTGTGGCCGCCAAAGCCAAGGCCAAGCCGGCACCGCCGGCCCCGCCAGCGAAGCGGCCCAACATGGCTGGGCGGAAGGTGGCGCCCGCACCCCCAGCAGCACCGCGCGATAGTGCCGTGAGCATGAACTCGCACGACTCATCTGGCGGCAGCGGACGGGGGACACCCAACAGCGCGTCGAACGCGAGTCTGGCGGGAGGATTGGCGGAGGCACTAAAGGCGCGACAGCACGCGATGCAGGGACATCATGATGAAGACGATGAGTGGTAGACTACATACTACACTGTCGAGAATGAGCTAGAAGCATACCCGGTAGATAAAATAGACATGTATAGCACTGCTACAGCTGGACCAGTAGATATACCCTCCCTGTCATCAATGCAACCAACATCCTCACAATATCACAAACCCGTCCTCATAATACCCAACCAACAACCTTATAATATTTACTTACAAGAACTTACTCGCCAAACTCATCAACGCCCCCGGACCACCCGTACCACTCGACCCACTGCCCTGACTCTTCATATACATCTTAAACGCCATCTCAGCCGCCGAGTTAACAGCCGACTGCTTATCACCAGACTGCCCCAACACCAGTTAGCCCACATCCCCCAAGAGAAGAAGAAACCATGAAATAAGTAAGACTTACAACACTGCCAGACCCAGCCTTCTCCTCCCAAAGCTTACTCGCCTGCGCCATCGCCATGCCAATAAACTCATTCTTATCCCCACCGCTGCTACCACCGCTACCACCACCAGAGGTAAACATCTTTAGCGCCTGCATCGCAGCGCCGGCACCCAAGCTGCTGCTATCATGTTGCTGCTGCTCTCCGCCACCGTTATACAGCCGCTGGTGCGACTGCACGAGATGCTCCTCGTCGATGTCCGGTTGCTCGGAGTACTGGCTCTTGCGGTCGGAGAGGAAGCCCAGGGCGGAGGAGAAGAGAGAACTGTCGGAGGAGGATTCGTGGGATTGTGCGTGGTGTTGGGCGGAGGAGAATTCGTCGTCGTAGGATCCAGAATTGCCGTAGCCACCACCACCACCTCCGGAGTATCCTCCGGAGGAAGAGGAGTGGGAGCCGGAGGTGGCTTGTTCGAGGGCGGAGGAGATGAGGTTGGAGAAGGACATATTTTTCTTTATTTTTCTTTATTTTTCTTTGATACTTTGTGTTTGTTTGTTTGTTTTGGGTTGTGTTGTGTTGGGGAGATAGATGATAAGGTGATGATGATGATGGTAGGAGGGGATGATGGAGGGGTTAAGGGGATAAGGAGTATTTATGAGGGGCTGTGGCGGTGTAGACGAGATGTAGAAGGGGGAATGGGGAATGATCGGCAGTGGGGCAGGGCGCTCAGCCACGATCGGGCGATTTAGTTTACTTTGTACGGAGGACTTTGTATTATTATCAAGTAAGTGATGGTGAACAGGGTTGTGAGAATGCTTCGAATCATGGCTAAAACTGCAATAACGTGGTATCTCTAAATCACGGCTCCGCCCAATTATGCAATATAATGCACTACTCATACACCCATCGCTACAATAGCATCGCTTCATGCTCCTCGTCCTCCAAAGTCCACATCCATCGCTGCTGTCGCTCGCGCTCTGTCAACATGCATCGCTCGTCGTCGTCCAGCTCCGTCTCGCGCAGCCACTCGTTCGGTCGATCCCGCAGCCCATATCGTTGTCCCCACTGCCGTCGCTCATATTCCAGGAACCCGCCAAAGTGCTCGTCCGTGTTGGCCACCCAGATCGTGCTGCCATCCGGCGCGTAGTCGGCACCGCCGATCTCCCCAAAGAAGTCGTGCACTTGTCGACGCTGGTATGTCTGCGCGTTGACCACGGCGATGCGGTCCGCCGGCTCACACAGCAGCAGAGTGCGCGGCCCGCCGCCCACGGGCGACCAGCGCAGTGACCGGTATCCGGCCACATCGGACTCGATCTTCTGCAGCATCCGCCACATGCGCACATCCCAGATGATCGCTGTCTTATCTTGATTGCTCGTGGCGATGTGGTGCATGTCGGGCGCCCAGGCGCACGCAAACCCGAAATCGCGGTGTCCGCGCAAGGGGTGCACCGGGCGCCCGGTATCCGCTTCGACGACCCACGCGTCCGCTGAGTCGCCAATCAGCACGCGCAGGCGCCCGTCCGGCGAGGTCGTCGTGCAGTTGATGGCCCGCGAGAGCTCGTGGTCCGCCACAAACGTGTTGGTCTCGCAATCCAGCACCCGCAAGTGACGGTCATTCGACGCGAAGATCCCCTGTGGAGACCGATTCGTCCGACTCGGAATGATGTCGACATGGTTGGTGATGCCATTCGCGTCCTTGGTTACATAGCCTTGCACGCCCGGGCCTGTCGTGCCCGCCGCTCGCACGGCATATTCGCCCGAAAACCCGCCCGCGATGGTCGTGTCGTGCGCCGACTTCATCGTCGAGATCTTGACGGGGCCCTGCAGCCCCGACTCGACCGTCGGCCGTGACAGATCGAGCAGGCAGACGAGATCGTCGTATGCGGGCACCCACGAGTAGACCTTTGACTCGTGTGCAAAGTGGACGGTATTATATGCCGCCACCGACATCAGGTTCCGGAGCTGAAAGTGCTCGATGGTGGCTTTGTGTTCCGTGTACATGGCCTTGCCGCGAAAGTACGACTCTTCCTGCGGCAACCTCGCGCCAGGCCGTTGCCGGGAATATTCCAGGTTGTGGTACGATGTATACGACTGGTCCCGCAGCTCGCGCACATAAGCCCGTTTGATCCGCAAGGCATCCCACCAGGGGATCTGTTGCAGATCGTAGAAATCTCGCGCATACCCCGGCGGTCGATAGATTTTCGGCGGGGGAATCCACCCGATCAGATGCGCAATGGCGCTGCGGGGGAGGTGTGCCGACGACATCGACAGACTGGGAATCGCGGACGCGGCGGACGACTGGTACAGCCACTGGGCAATAAACTGGTCCACGTTCAGATTCCTTTCGCGGGCTAGTACTAGGTTAGCATGCCGTAAGAACCGTAGAAACCGATGGAGACTCACTCGTTCCCACCACTGGAGCAGCAAAATGCGTCTCGCCCGTCGGGTCGGCATTGCTTGAATCGTCCCCCTCGGAAAAAACATTGCTGTAGTCGTCGCGCATGGAACCGGGCCCCAGATCAGATAATTCAGGAGCCGAGGGTGAAGGTGGGTCGTGATAGAAGTCTTCCAGCTCCTCCTCCGACAAGTACGCCGTGCCATGGCGGGTCCCCATGTCACTGGCGACATCGTCGTCGTATTCATCGCCATCATCCGAGTAGAACTTTTGCGTGTCATCCGGGTCGTCCTCTGCGATGGACTGCGACGTGGACCGGTTCTCCATCACCGACGGCTCATAGTCCATGATCAGATCGGTCGCCTCCCCATCTTCGGTGTCGCTGGAGATGGTGGACGCGACGTGGTGTGCGGAGACCGGGGTATCCAGCGACTGGTTGAGGAGGGCTGCCATACCGACGTGTCCACCGATGTAGGGTTCCAGCGGGACGCCACCCATCTCCGACAGCGCGTCCGTCATTTCCGAGTCCGAGACGTACCATTCCACCGGGGGCGACGACGGGTTGGGCGCATGGTCGGGCACAGTCTGACGCACCAGTAAATCGTCGCGCGCCCTCACCGCATTCACCACCTCGGAGGAAGTAGCGTAGGGCCGATCGGGAGACTCGAAGACGTGCGTATACTGGGGGACAGCCAGGAAGGCGGAGGCGGCCAATTCGCTCGTGTTCCGATCGTCTGTATCACCGTGGATGCCCGCCGCGGAAGCGTCCGAGCTGACGGCGGGCGCGGGGTCTTCGATGGACGGCATCTGCAACCGGGTCGACGAGGAGGCGTTAGGCGAGGGCAGACTGTCTGGGGTCCAGGGATGTGAGGATCTGGGGACGGTACATGCTGACGGGCTGCGAGCGCGGGTACTCGGGGGTCCCGGCAGGACCGAGGTGCTGGAGGAGGACTCGGAGGCAGAGGAGGACGAAGACGAAGGGAAATCGGAGGCAGTCGGGCCAGGCATTCCGGTCAGGGCGGACGCAGAGTTGACAACGGGCTGGCCACCGATCAACTGGGGCGAGCGGTGGGGAGAAATAAGCAGGGAGTGGAATTTAAGTAGTAAGGAATTCAGACGGAGGAGGGATCAACCGGTGATTGGCACTGGGGTGGGTTGCACAGGGATGAGGGCCGGTCGGGACCACGTTGTTGGTCCTCCGATCGCAGTCAATCAATCAATCAATCCCCGTCGGATCTGGACTTCTGCAGCCGATAAGTCAAGTTCACCCCGCAGGGCGTATTGCCCACCTCCCCCACACCGATAGGGATAAGCGTAGGGTTGAACTCCCAGAGTGGGACAGCCACTGCGCTAGCTGAGGAGAAAATGGCAGAGAGTCAGTGTGTGTTGTGTGTTGTGTGACCAACCCACCATGAAAAGGTCAGTGGTGGTGGTGGTGGCTTAGCAGTGTGGGAGGAGAAGGAAGGAAGGGAAGTAAGGAAGCCAGTGGGAGGCGGACAGAAGGAATGGAAGAATCCCGAGGTGGAGGGGCGGTGTCGCACCACAGTAACACCACCAATAAACACACCACTAGATAAGTACTGGCCGGTGAAGAGGTTATAAGTTGGAGGTGAAGGCCGAAAGGTAGTAAGTAGGTAGAAGGGAAAAAGCAAAATACCCGGCAGGACTCAAGATGGGAGTGGGAGGCCAAGAGGCCGTCAATCATACCCCAGTTAGGGTAGACTGCAGGAAAGAGGCAGCAGATGCCGCAGAAGAGGGAGGAAAAGGAGGCAAAAAGTAAGAGAGAAATGGGGAATGAAAAGAAGGAGACGGTCGAAGAAGAGGTAGAAGCGAGACAGAGAGGGAGGAGGAAAAAGCAACTTAGAACTTGTAAGAGACGGAAGGGAAAGAGAGAGAGAGAACGTGGATCCCGATCGGGGCTGTCACATGGAGGGGGGAGTTGCCGATCACGAGGCAAAGACAAGAAAGAGATGATTGTAAAACTAGTAGAACTTTATGTATGGGGGTTTGCTGCAGTTTGTGAGTTGGGAAGTTAATGCTGCTTCTATTCTAACCCTGTTTTAAGTTTAAAGACTAGTTAGACAGTAGTAGATAGTACTTGGTACAAGTGACATGTTCTGATTCTAACGGGATGTATATGTCCGCAGTCAGGGCTTGCTACCCAGTAGGTACTAAGGGACTAAGTACCAAGTAGTTCAAATCCCGATTGGATTGGTTTCTTTTTCTCTGGTGTCTGATCTATTTGTATTGAGGCTTGGTAGTGCTCCTCCACGTTCACGCAGCCTGATTTTATCTGTCAGATTCCCCATTTTGAGGCTCCCACACCAGCAGTAGAGATTGAAGATCTTATTACACTATTGCTGTATGGGTACGTTTCACTTCTTTCTGATCGAGAAGATCCCCCATTAAATAATACGAAGAAAAGAGCACTACTGCGGGAAAGTATAATAAGAATAACGGCCTGAGGCCTCCTAAGAATAGAAGCATACTGTCGGTCTTACTATTATTCCGACTCCACTGACTGGTCAATAGCAGTACTTTATTACATTCATTGACACCACTCGGTAACTGTCAAGCATACGACTTGGTTCAGACGAAATCCTATTCAAAGAGTTGGTCCCATCCCGAAGATTAGAGGACACAGCTCCATTTCTGGAAGCGCAAGACCAAGGAACGTTTCTATCATTTGCTTGACAGATGCTCGGCTGGCTGCTGGAGGAGAGAAAGACAGCTCGCGAGTTGATAGATCTTCCATGACTCAAGCTTGGTGATTGATCTACCGCCCCGTTACATTTGGGCATAGATGATGTACTAAGGGGTCTTCGTTGTCGAACAACATTAGCTGGGCAGCTTTGTACACGACGAGTGCTTGTCATTAGAGTGTCCACCACTTTAGTACTACTTACCTGAATACGATAGTTAGTACTCACAACCAATGCCGCTTTATAATTGGCCCCGCAGGCCGAACGTGGGCGGGGTATGTGCCTGAGACACCAACTAATATGATAAGTAATGTAGTACCAACTAACTACTTATCTCTGCGCATCGATAACGCATCATCCCCCCTCACTCCTGTTCAGCAGTAAGTATGTATGTATACCCCAGCAACTCCACACCCTTCTTTCATTAATACTACACTGGACTTTTCGATTCACTCACAACTCCGAGATATTCTATCATGGAATCCCAGGAATTCCTACTGATTCTCATGCCCTGTGCTTTCCCAGACACATGGATCGATAACCTGAAAAGCGCTGTGCCCCACATGCGCATCGAGAAACGCGAAATTGACCGATTTGCTACGGAGCTGCCCACTGACATCTCCCCCGAGACATGGAAAGAGGTTACAGCACTCCTCACCTGGAAGCTTCTTCCGCCCAAAGAACTGGCTCCAAGTCTACAATATGTCCAACTCTTGAGTGCCGGGTGCAATCACGTTCTGGGTACCCAGCTGTTTGATGAGACAGACGTTGCATTCTGTACAGCGAATGGAGTTCATCCGTGAGTTTCGTTCAGGCATATCCTGGAAGAAGGAGATAACTGACGGATCAGACCTCAAATCACAGAATGGGCGTTCATGACCTTCCTTGCCTTTCAGCACCATCGCATGTCGACCCCACCCATCGATAGGAACATAACACTAACGATGAGTTAGTCCCGGCATACCTTGACAACCAGAAAGCCGGTAAATGGATCGACCCGACATCGGATGAGGACACTGAGGATGCAGTTGGCCTCAGAGTGTGAGTGTGACTTTGAGTCTTTCAAGTATTCAGCAATTGACACACATATACTAGTGGATTCATGGGCTATGGAAGTATCGGCCGGCAATGCGCCCGAGTCGCCAAAGCCTTTGGCATGGACGTCCATGCCTTTACACTACACCCCCGAGCCACGCCGGAATCACGAAAAGCAGATTCATATAGCGAGCCAGGCCTTGGGGACGAAGACGGTACATTTCCGTCAAAGTGGTTTTGGGGCAAAGATCAACTCAATGACTTCCTGGGTTCAGATCTCGACTTGCTGGTGATTACTGTCCCGCTGACTGGGCAGACACGAGGCCTGATCGGGCGGGAGCAATTCGCCCAGCTCAGCAAGAAGAAGGCTTATGTTAGCAACATTGCCCGGGGAGCAGTGATCAAAACGGATGATCTTATGGAAGCCCTGGATGCGGGTCAGATCCGAGGCGCAGCACTGGATGTTACAGATCCGGAGCCATTGCCAGCTGACCATAAGCTGTGGGGGTATAAGAATGTCATCATTACTCCGCATTGCAGTGGGAATTCAACCCACTATAATGATCGTGCTATTAAGATACTGCAGAGCAATTTGGAAAGACGGGCTCGTGGACAGCATCTGATCAACCAAGTTGATAAAGAGTTGGGATACTGATGTAGATGGATGAGAATCTGACGATAACGTGACTACTCACACATAGAATTATAGAGAGCTAGATGCATTAGTATTAAAATGATCACAGAGCTTATGAAACTCAACAAGTCACAGCACACCCTTCAGGCTCCCTCTATACCCCGCTTATGCCTCAGACATTACTATTTCAGGCGGTGAGGGTCTGCCCGACATATGGAGAAAGTGGCAGGCGGAAGTCAGAGCGGCGTTGATCGCCGTTCCTTCCAGACAGCGATCACAACTGACTAATACATACATTTTCGAATGGGGGAGTGTCTGTCTGTTGCATTGGCTATAGCATCTTGATTGTTCTCTTGCCAACTTGTATCCTGAAATCATTCACAATCAAAGCCACGTCAGATATTCAATTCGTCTGCGAAACTCAAGCTCCATGCGCCGACAGCCGCCACGTGCTTCAGTAATGCCGGGTCCATACGAGTTCCCCACTGCAATCAGTTATTTTCCCTGTCAGTGGAATCAATCCCATTCATCGACCGTCCCACCCTGTCTGCTTAGTTCTCCACCCGCATCTTCACCCGCTTATCCTTCTGTACCCCTCTAATCCGGCTGAAGAAACTGGCATCGGGGAGAAACAGAACAGATGGAAGCCCGTATTGGATCGGACAACGGCACTGGGCCTTCCGCTCCAACGTACGGACTCCCACACCTCATCGACGAGAAGCAGGAGGACAAATATCCTTTGCTGCTTGTCTACCTGGCCAAGCAAACCCCAGCCGAACAAGCTTATCTTGCTTCTCGCCTACAAGAGTTCTTCAGACGGGAAAATATAACACTGACAAGATGGCAACCATCCTCTGGGCTGCTACGTCGAGTCGCCCTCCATGGCTCCTGCCCAGACAGCCAAGCGAACATCCACGCAATGGCCGTCTTAGCATATCGGGCTGGGTGGACACGATTCATTGTAGCAGATGGCCTCACCCAGCGCCAGGTGCATGGGAATCTTCGTATGTGGGAGGATCCACTGTTGTCACTGGTCATGGTCGTTGTCAAGCCAGAGCCAGTTGTCTTAGCCCCAACGGGCGACTTTTGCGTCTTCGCTAAGCGGGCTGCTGTAGACGGGTTCAGCAAAGATTTTCTTGAAAAGCTTTCCAACTTGCAACCACCGAAGAGGTCGCTCATGCATAACATTGAACGCGATCGATATGATGATCCTGGCCTCACTCTCTATGACCCTGACCGGCCCCCATTTACCGCCGACAGAGCGACTTCTCTCAGTCACGAAGAACGGTTCAGTATTACCGCGGCCTTCTTGACAAAACACACACCATTGCCACCGGAGCTGGCGGAGCAAGTCCTGGACTGGCTTTCTATAGCCAACGAGAGTCCTATGTGGTTGCCGCCGTGGATATACCACAAGGAAAAGCACCTGAACATCTTTCTCCTCTTCCCAGCCACGCAACACGAGCTTCATCATATCCAAACCCTCTTCCAGAACGTCATTGAGGACTACCGGAAAATCGAGCGCGCCGGTGTTCGGTCATATACCATGACTTTCATCCCTTGGGAATATCACAGAACCAGGTCTCGCCGTGACCTCGCAAACCTATGGGAGGCGTATCGGATTAGAACAGGGGACAAACTAGCCCCATTCAATATTTACTTTCTTCAACAGATGCCCGTCGCTCAGAATGTTAACGACCTTGAACTAGGGATTGTCAAGTACGAACGAGGTGATTTGCCAAACGTGGCACGAATAACCCTGGAA